GAATACAGTCTCCGGATCCTGTAGAGGCGGCTGTGGTTCTCCAGCCCTGGGCAGCCTCGGCCCCTCCGCACCCATCTCTGCGTCCTGGGCGTCTCCTGCCCCCTGTGAACTTGGGGGACCCTGAAGCACGGGGCTCTGGCTGCAGCGCTGGTGGAGCAGTGCACACGCCGGGGACCCCATGGCCACCTCCGGCCTGGCTGAGTTCCTCTCCTCTCCTGGCCCACGCTTGGCTCCCGCCTGGGACACCGTGTCCCAGCTTCCGCTTCCCTGTGTCCCCCACAGCTAGCACACAGCTTTCCATTCTAGCGGCTTCTGCTGCAGGGGAGTCCCCCTAGGGAGGCAGCCAGGGCGATAAAAATAACAGGCCTGGGGGCGTGTAAGTGTTCCAGTGTGAACAGCCTGCCGGTCCTGCATCCTGGTCTGTTTCTGACACCCTCCAGAATGGTCACTGGTCCCAAAGGACCCGGGGCCTCGCTTTTATTCCCTTGAAGGGGTCTTGCCAGACCCCTGTCCCTCCAACTTGGCCTCCGCCCGGGCAGAGGCTGGGCCGGTGGTGGCTCCAAGGCGCCCGCAATCCGCAGGAAAAGCCCGCGAACACTATCCACACCCATCAGGCACAGCCAGTGACCTGGCGGGAGGCGGCTCAAACTCCCCCTTTACAGACGGGAAAACTGAGGGCCTGCTCGGGCGGGGAAGGGCGGAGCCAGCACTTGCCACCTTGACACTGGTTCCAGGTTTTACACGGGGCCGGAGGGTTGGACACAGGCCCGCTGAGGGGGAGATAGGGAGGGGGTGTCGGTCTCCACCAGCCCCTGCAGAGGTCGGGAACCCCCAGGCTGCCCACGTCCAAGATGGCCACGGCGGCTTCGAGCTCGCAGGCTGCCCGCTCCTGGGCGGAGCCTCCGGGCGCACCTCCCCCTCCCTCCCCTGTTGTGTTTTTTGTTGGTAATCCTCACCTGAGGATACCCTCTCCATTGATTTTTTTAGAGAGAGTGGAAAGGAGGGGGAGAGACATCCATGGTTGCCTACCGCACACGCCTGACCAGGGCAGAGGATCAATTCTTGGCCAGAATCGAACCTGGGACCCTTCAGTCCACAGGCCGCCGCTCTATCCACTGAGCCAAACCAGCCAGGCCCCGCAGGGTTTGCAGACCGGAGGGCAGCACTGGAGAGCAGGCGCCGGGGAGGCTGCGAGAAGGGCGGGGGCCGTGGCAGGGCTTGGGGCTCTGCTGTCAGGAAGGAGTTGGGACGCCCCTAGAAGGCCAGGGGCCCGCGAAGGTCTGGGCCCCTCTGCGCACCCTCTTCTGCTGTCTGGAGGAAGCTTCCAAAACCCGTATCCCAGCGGCTGGGGACCTGAGACCTGGGCCTGAGGGGTCAGCAGGGGGCGCTGTGGGCTACGGGGAGCCCGGGGTCCTGCGGGTAATGAGGACGGCAAATCCTCACAGTAGCCTTCATGTCTGTGGCTCTGAGATTGAGCTTCACTTCCCCGCAGAGGCCTGGGCTCCTCCCCTGGTGCCGCTGCGCGGTCCGGCCAGCCTGGGGCAGGAGCAGTTCGGTTCAGGCCCCCGCCTGCCTGTCCCCTCGCCAGCCCCGCCCCGCCCCG